ACTTTTGTTTCGTGTAATTGTACCCCGCAACGTCAGTACTTTGTCTGTTTCACTGTCATTTCGTGGACAAACACACGAAACCAGTGCTTGTATTTCGTGTGTTCTTACACGAAATAGAGGCACTAATTTCGTGTTTTTGTCCACGAAATGACAGTGAAACAGCACAGTTCATATTTTTTTTTTTTCAAGATATATTTTATTTATTATTATTATTTAGACTGATGTTAATAGTGTTTTATTTAACAGATGGCAGGCAAAGGGAAATCAAGTGCAATTATGCGAGCAGTTCGTGAAGAGGCTGAACATCAAGAGCGCGAGCGCGAGCGCATGACTATGTCTACACGACGTAGGCGAGAGGCTGAGAGGGCTGGTGCAGCCAGATCATCAGTTCCACATCCCGATGTTGGGTCTTCTCGTGCTATGGAGGAGGAGGAATATGTGGCCCCCGTTCACGAGACTGAGGTTGTAGCTCGTGGAGGTCGTAGAGGTCGTGGAGGCCGAGGACGGGGCCGTGGAGGTCGACCTTATACTCGAGTGAATCCGGATGTGCTAGATGGTCCATTTCCCGGTGGCCCGCGGGATCCGTCTTTGATACCGAGTTTCAAGTCGCACGTAGCGGCATCTATTTGGAGGGGAGAAGTAAGTTAATTACTTGTTTTAATTCTAATATTATAATTTTTGTATCTTCTATTAAAATATTTTTATAGTTGATTAATTAATATGTTTTCTAAATAAATGATTGCAGGAACGTCCGGTTGGACGAGTGGAGTCCCGTATCAACTCCCTGAACCAATTCAACTACGAGAAGATAGCAGATGCCCTAGAAGACGTAGATGTATCCGTAGACAAGCATTTTCTGCGGATGACCGGTTTGTATCCCCTAGCCCGATGTTATTTACAGGGCCTAGATATTCCGCTGTTGTTTGCATTCGTGGAGCGGTGGCAGCCGGAGACGAACAGCTTCCATATGCCGTGGGGTGAGATGACTATCACTCTTCACGATGTCCAGATGATTCTAGGTGCCAATGTGGAGGGACGGGTGGTCGCGCCTAGGTACGACGATGCAGCCGAGCGGACAAACTGCGTGTATTTGCTGTCCGAGGCCTTAAACCTCGAGTTTGAGGAGATTGACGAGTCGTGGAAGCATGGGGGCCCCACATGGAGGATGTTACCGGGACAGTTGTTGATGCCCGACACGCCCATGAGACGCCGAGTTCAGATATACCTGGTGTGTCTCCTCGGGTCGATTTTATTCCAGACATGTGATCGGGTGAAACCGTGGTATATGCCCGTGCTCGACGATTCAGTGCTTGATCCCGTCGGCCGTATTCGTGGGGTTCGGCCTGTTTGGCCAATCTATACAGAGAGTTGGGTATATGCAGCCGAGCACAATCGAGGGGCTTGGCGGGTTGCACCACCCTTCTTCAGGTAAATTTTAATATATTTGGAACTTATTTTGTTCATTTTAATATATTTTAATAAATTTTAATATCTTTAAATAAAATATTTGCAGTGCTGGATATACGAGTATTTCCCGAGATTCCAGCCGCCGGATGAGAGCGAGCGCTACCGCGAGTTTCAGCCTCGATGCAAGAGGTGGAACGCGCCACCAAAAGCGGGCACGCTCGAGCATATTCGAGGTTTACTCGACAATATGACAGCGGATGATGTAAGTCTTTTATATTTATGTATTTATATTTTTTGAAATATGAATTTTTCGATATGAATTTTTTGATTTAAATATGTTTTGTAGTTTGTTTAAATATGAATTTTTTGATTTATGTATTTATATTGTTTTCTGTTTAGGTCGAGTGGCTACCGTATGGTCGGGATATACACGAGAGTATCCCTCGTACGTTGTATCATGGCACGATCCAGTACATGTGGGTCGTAGAGTCGTATATGCCTGATCGTTGCGTCCGACAGTTTGGATGGGTTCAGGATATACCACGCGGCTTGATTCCGTCGATGGAGCCATGTTCACGCGGTCCCAAAGGAGGTACATCGTACAAAGTCAACTACCCATTTCCGGGTGGGATGTGGGACATGGTCCAGGCTCATTCCATTCATGCCCGCGCATACAAGACGGCACGACAACGGGGGGAAGTCGACGAGCACTACATGGAGTGGTACACCGAGCGGACTCATCCGAAGATCAACAACCCCGACGTAGGCCCGGCTCCAGTGCATCGAGAGAATGTGAGGCCACCAGATCAGCCGGCTTATTACCAGGTAGTACGTGCCCTGTACCCGATCACCAGGAGCACTGGACAGGACTGGATGCAGCAGTTTGCCGATCTACGTGCCGATCTTGGAGATATTTTGGAGCCCGCCGCCCGATATCTTGGCATCGACCGTGACAACGACAACGACGACGACGATGACGACGACGATCATGAGGTGCAGCCGCCGAGGAGAGCGAGGCGGTAGTTTATCGGTTACTTTTGCTAGTTATATATTTTTATGAACTATTTAATTTTAAAGTTTATTTTTATTATTATTAGGACTATGCATTTTTATTATTGTTAGGAACTATTTAATTTAATAATTTATTTTTATTTTTAATTAGGAACTAATTGTTTTACTAATTTTTATTTTGTTTATTATTATTACGAACTATTTAATTTACTAGTTTGTTGTTTTGTATTTTAATTCACTAGTTTTATTATTTGAATTTAGAAACTACGTACAACTGAAGCAATTAAAGTACATATTTAAACAACCTTACAAACAATCTTACAAATTTAATACATTCCAAAAACATAGATTAAACATATAAAATGCAAAACACAACGCTACAAATTTAAATATTCCAAAACATAAGTTTGAATGCAAAATTAAAACAAATATAAATTTAAACATAAGTTACCATTACTCAAATACCCGGCAGATGGTTATGATTACCATTACTCACACTCAATCGCCATAATCCATCCTCCGTTGATTTTTTGCCAATTAACCTGAACGGACAAGAACGTTTCTTCAATAGTCCGTGTCGTCCAGATTGATATCTTTCACACGTTAAAACATGATATTTTTCTGATTTACGATGATTAATCAGTCGATGATTATGACTAATTGCTGTGTCTTTTGCCCACATAATTAACGCTTCTCTACTATCACACACAATACCACGTTCAAAGAAGTGACTATGATCGTGAGATTGTTCTCTTAGTTCCTGCATAAATATTTAAAATTAAAAGACAATATTTAAGGGATTTCGTAGACAATCACACGAAATGGAAGCTTGCATTTCGTGTAAACACACACGAAATAATAGCTTCCATTTCGTAGGTGTTACTACGAAATTTAAGCTTCCATTTCGTGTGACTGTATACGAAACACACAACTAACGATTTTAAGACATATTTCGTATAGTATTACACGAAATGAAAGCATATATTTCGTGTGTTATGATACGAAATCTCTAAAAACGTTGGAAACGAACAAAAAACGTGTATTTTCACCTCAAAATCGAAGCCGTTGCCATCCATGTCGATAATACTTGTGCTCTAACTGATATTGGTCGAAAAAATACTAAAATTGATAAATTTTAAGAATAAAAGGTTGAGAGTGTTTGAGAGGATATTTGGATAAGATTTGGAAAAGAAAAAAAAATGAATTATTTTGCACTGCGAGTGGTAAAAATCGCACTGATAATAGCAAGCCCCTTATAAAAGATATGTTAGTTACGTTTGCTTATAAAAGTAAAAAAATTGCTTTCGAGCTTTTTATTATTATTATTAAAAAAATAGAATTATTTTATTAATGAGCTAATTACTTTTAAAGCTCGAGCTAACCAAACCTCATAAAAGTTCGAGCTCAAGCCAGAAAATCTCAACTCGTCGAGTTCGAGCCTTCCAAAACAGGCGAGCTCGACTCATTCACACCCCCTAATTTGAGCAAATTTCGGTCTGGTGCGGTTAGGCGGGGCATCTATACACAGCTGGCAAATCGAACTAGAAATCACTAATTCACTATATAAGAATCTTTATACCAACAAAATATAAACAACTACAACAACCCCATATCTTTTTCTGTTCACATATTATACTCAATTTGCTGCTACGTTATGGATGCCAATCCACCACACACACTGTGTGGGTGAGTGTAAATGTAGCAGTAGATTTGACACTGAATATCTCATCATTCTCTAAAACTCCAACCTATACCCAAAAAAGAAAAAAAAAAGAAAAAAAGAAGGTTCACCTTTTCTCTAAACCATAATAAGAAATCAAAATATATAGCAGGCTAAAATCCCAAGAACTTAGGAGCCAAGAAGAACAACGGCTCCAAAGCACTAGGAGAAAACTTCCTCGCAAAAAGGGAACAAACAGAAGAAGGCTGATCGTTATACAAGCACTTCTCACCTTCGAAAATCCTCTTAAAAAAATCCTCCGTAATATCCGACCGCCCAAATGTAGCAGGGTGGGCCCCGCCCCTCGACCAGTCAACCCAAGTCACGCTCCTATTGGCCAAGAGATTCCCCGCCTGCACAGTCAGCATCGTTGGAAAATAGTGCTCGTCCACATAGCAAGCCGGCCTGCAGAACTGCTCGAATTTAGGGTAGAATTTCTTGTCTTGGATGAGGTACAGCGCCAGCTGGCGGCTGACTTCGAACCACTGGGAGCCCTTTCGCCAGTCTTTGATGTCGACCTCCGGCAACATGTGGTCGTTGTAGCGGCCCCTCCCAAATGGACCAGGGTCGTCGAACGCGCCCGTGAAGCTGTATTTGGATCCGGTTATGTAGCTGTGAATTGTGGTGAAGTTGTGGAGAGGGATGCATGATTCGGATAAGAGGACGAATCTTTCGTTTGATATGTCGAGTAAGGCGTTGGCTATTAGTCTTCTCTCTGCATCGCACATGCTCATTTTTCCCCATTCCGAAATCTGTGGAAAATCATTTTCAAACTATTTATTAGTATAGAGAGCAAAATAAATATACCACGTAGAGAAATCAGCGAGAATAAAAAGAAAATCAATATTCTATGGTACGTAGTAGTTTGAAGGGTACATATGTAGATACTTGATTACGTAATGACTTGTGCACACGATAAGTTTATTAAAATTTTCTACTGGAAACTATATATTTTACAGCATACAGAGACGGGTTGGAGTTGTCTTTGCGTATGCCGAGTACAGAACCTTAAATTTCTACAAACAGCCATATTAATCAACCTTAAAATTCTCAAAAACACAAACTTTTTAGTATCAATCAGCCTGCATTGAAACTGCAACATGGTACCCCGCATACTGGTATTGCCATTTTCCAAGTAATTTGCATAGGAGATGATGTTCAGTACAGTAAGATAAAGAACGCTAAAATCTGAAAGTAAAATTTTGGGGGTTTATTGCATTCAACACCCCCTTGTGTTCTCTAATTGCTAAATAAACTCCCCGTGTTTATTATTCAATTTTTGTTACCAAACGCCCCCTAATAAGTGCATTCTAAAGGGGTTTTGGTTAATATTAATAACATGGAGAGTGTTTTTAGCAATTAGATATAACACACAGATACGAGATGCAATAAACTCATAAATTTAGTGAAAACAAAATTATGTATCTAAACAGTCAACCACTGATTAGTCGATATGGCGTCCAATTAGCTTGATTCTTGAAAACTAACATGTTTAAATTAGGCTAAGAAGAAAAAATTAAGAAAAAGGAGCCGTCTCGCGGGGGTTAGCTCTGTTCATCGA